AAAAAAGACAAAATACTTGGACAAAAAATATTTTGCAATATATAAATAACATAGCATAACACGAGAAAACATTGAAATTAATTTCATATTTTATGTTAATTAAACTGATTTAGGACTTTGTATATGTCTATATATACATTTTAATTTAATTTATATTTATTTAATAATTTAACATATTTCATATCAATTTAATTAGAATGCACACACACACACATACACACATACACCCATCCTTATGTGTGTGTGTATGTTGTTCCTAGTGATGTCACATTTTGGAAATGTAAGGAAAGATAAAGCATATAGTGAACTGCTAACCAAAATACAGTTAAAACAAAGACATATATTCTTGAGTGCCTCAGTCCCTTTTTGCTAGTTCTCCTAATTTCTCCGTTCTCTAGTGTCAGCATCCTCAGTCCCTGAAACTCTTCCTTTTTTATTTACATGTCCCTTCTAAGTAATCTCATAGATTAAATACCTTAGTTTGTGCCAACGATTCCCAAATTTACATCTGTAGCTGTATTAGTCCGTTTCTGTTGCCTGTAACAGAAATTCCTGGAATTGAGTAATTTGTAAAGAAACAATATTTATTGCTTACAGCTTCAGAGGCTGGGAAGTTCAAAGTCCAGGGAATACATCCGGTGGGAGCCTTGTTGGTGGGTAGTGACCCTTCACAGCAAAGCAGGTGTCACTTGGCAATTTGGCAGAAGCAGAGAGACTAATCTCACGCACTCTCCTTTTAAAGACCTCAGAACCATGTCCATGACCACCATTAAACCATCAACTTTTAAATTCATTTGCTAGGGAACGGTTCTCACAATCTAATCACTTTTTCAAAGCCTTACCTTTCAATTACCATAATAGGATTTCCCACTCTCTTAACACTGCCACAGTAGGGGTTTAGTTTGTGTGGGGGTATCCACAACGCTAGCCTAGACCTTTTCTCTGAACTCCAATTAAAACAGAAGCTCTCCTCTTGACAGCACTTTAAAAGGGCCCAAGCTGAGCTCTTGATCAGTTTCACATTCTCAACAAAC